GTTAGAATGCTATCTAATTACTAAGGCTCAATTAATTAGATAGCTTACCTTTTAACATAGGAAAAGGTTCTGACCTGTTAAGCTTTGATAATGTATAAGGGAGGATAGAAAGAAAGGCATCTAACTGGAAAAATGTTTCAGGGTCTAAATAGGATGACAGGGTCCATTTAAGATCTATAGGCTGCCAGAAATTCCAGGATGGCAATTTACTTAACCTCTGTAAGTTTCAGTTATTTTTTTTTTTTACAAATAGATATATTAGCACCATTGCATAAAATAATTAATGTAACATATTTGGCATCATGTCTGTTTTAAAAAAGCTGAAAAATGCTAGCTGAGATATTATGGTTGAAGTTATACTACTACTAATAACAACAATGATAACCTTTTTATTAGTAGCAACATTAGTAACAGTATACTCTGCCTTCAGAAGGGTTGTGCCAAATGGAACTGCTATGGTTTGGATATGAAATGTTCCCCCAAAAGGCGCATTGGGTAGAAGGCACGGTTGCTAATGGGCTTTGGGAAGTGATTGGATCACATGCTCCAACTTCTTCAATGGGCTAACACACTGACAAGATCATATCTGATGGCATTAGAGGGAGAGAATGGAAACAGGGAGGGGGCCCAGTTGAAGGGAGCAGGTCCTGGGCAATTCACTTGGGGACTAGGTCTTGTCCTTGGTCTCTTACTCTCATGTTTTCTCACTATCTCTCTGCTGTTCAGCTACCATGGCAGCGTTTCTCCACCTCACCCTTCCACTGATGCTTCTGCCTCACCACAAGCCTAGAAGCAGTGGAGTTTAGGGAGCTTAGATGGGAACTTCTGAAACCATGAGCAAAATTAAACTCTTCCTCTTTTAAGTCATTCATATCAGATATTTTGTCGTGGGGTAGAAAGCTAACACAATTTAACACACATTCCACAGTGCTATGGGGTAAGTCTTGAGTTTACCCTCAACTCTGAGATCACTACATGAGAGGGTAGAAAAATAAGTGAGAAACAGAGGCAGGATCTCAATGCCTAGCATTAGCTATGTTGTAATACCACACAGTGTGAACTAAAGGGAAGCACCCTGGCAGAATGATTTTAGAGTCAGGACATGAACCTTGACCGTCACTGGACAATGTCTAACTTTAGCAAACCACCAACCTTCTCAGAATCTTAATATCCTTATTTGTCAAATAGGGATAACCACAACTGTAAGAGGATTATAAAAATAATAAATACATGGCACAGATAACGTACTTAATACCCTCCAAAGACACCCCCCTCCCCCGGCTTCACACTAGGATTGCAAAACTACCAGAGTGAGAAGCCCATCTGCATAGGTGTGCAGCATCAGTCAACGCCGTGTGAGCTCTTTCTTAAGAGAAGGAAGATGCCACCAGCTTCCTCATACCCTCCTCCTCTTGGAGGAGCTGAAGGACTGCGAAGTAGGGCTGCTAAGTGTTAGCACTTGTACCCACATTTACTGATGGCACGAAGTGGAGTCATCCTCAATTCACTGTACAGTACTATCATGAAAGCTATACAGTCAACAAGAGCACAAACATGGGCTCAAGTGGAAATTTAACTCTGCGCATTCTCCTTTTGTACCCTAACATACATCCCAGCACAGCTTTTGTGCCAAAAATTTGAAGACAAATTTTTAAAATATAAATCTAATGGATGCAAATATCTGTCCATCCTCACCACAAGGCAGTTATTATTTGATTCAAATTATATAAAAGCTGTGTCATTCGTGATAGTCATAACAAGCTTAGGAACCCTTCTTCATGTAAATACTCCTCCATTTGATGAAAATGCAATTACATAGAAAATCACAATCACAAAGTCATCTTATTTCTATTATCAGTACTATTGTTTCAATGTCTCTATTATTTCTTTTTCTAAATTGGGAGAATACATTTCCTTCCATGTATCACCATGCCAGTCCCAAGACTTCTCTTCCTTAGGTGTTTTGAAGTAAAAGTAATATGAATTTTGACGTTTTAAGTACATTTTCAAAATGATCCCCTGATTTTTATAACTATTCCTGACACTAATATGCAGCTTTATGTCATTAGTTACTTAAATGTTTTCTATAATTATGCAAATTATGTTGACACTTTCTGGTAGGAAGCTTACATTTTACAATTGTGTCATTTGCAAAATTTTGAAATATACCAGATAACCATGTTCAATCATTTTCCAATTAAACAGCTGCCAAAGGGTTCCTGCTGTCTTGTGCTTTCTCTGCCTGCAACTCTGTGTCCATTGTTGGCCCAGAAAGCTCTTAAGTACACACTCCTCCCTCCTCCATAGACTTTGTACTTCAGAAATTGTATTTTTTTATCTTTTGGTTTACTGTTGAGCAAGCTAAGGTCACTGACTTTATGGAGTTCATGGCTAAAGAGAAGGAGGTACCATTAGGTACAGATCTACAGGTCACTACAACAAGGCGTACACTTTGGGTGCTTCGACAACCTGGCAATATCGGGCATGAAAAAGCAAAGAATGACTAGTTGTCAGAGGAGCCAAACAAAGCCCCTCAAAGTAAAGTCTCACAAGATCTCTAGTCTGAGTCTTGAAGTTTCTGTAGGAGTTGGGAAGAACTGGGAAGAAAAACCTCCTGGGCAGATCCACAGAGAGAGCCAGGGCTAGGAAAACGAGGAGTTGAGGGTGCCTCAGATGCAGGACACAGGGACCCAAGTTTTGTCCCACAACACCACAGAGCTGGGGAGCATGGGAAATCACTTGTAAAGGCCTTGTCAGATAGAGCAGGGCAGAAAAAGTCAGATAGCACTTCCTTTGCTGTGTGCAGAAAGTGACAGGGTCTAACTCTTCAGAAGATAACCACCCTGATATGGAGGACAAACAGATACATATCTTTTCTACTAGAAGTAGCCAGGGATAATAAATTCTTTCAAAGCCTCAGATGGGAAAGCAATGTCTTCTCATCCTATTATGCTTAATTCAAGCAAAATGCATTCAGTTGTTGCTGAGTGGCCCATGAGGGTAGAGAAAAGATAAATACAGAGCATTAAGAAATTCTCAGACACATTTGAAAGCAATGTTGTGATACACATGGTAGCCCCCACTTACCAATCCAGAACCCCAAGAAAAGCTGTGGGCCATCAGACCTCTGCCATGTATGCAGTGACAAGAACCTGCCACACACTGCTGCATTCATGAATGGGGACATGATGCACTATGTCCCTGCCACATCACTGCAGAGCAATCCGGCCCTGCCATATCTATGTGGCTTCACATTCAGTACCTGTTGGCCAGGCCTTCACGTGGGCACACTGCTTGCCACACACCGGGAAACCCACACACGGAGGGATGGCCCATCGAACTGCTCCGTATCTGCATCTTGGGGTGAGTGTGGTCCCTCTTACCCAGACCCTGACAAAATACTGAGCTCCAAAAAAGTAATTCTTAACCCCTCTACTGCTGGGGTTCCAGAAATAGCTACAAAAATATGGTGGTGGGTGTAATGGGATGAAGGAAGATGTTTAACTCAATTTTCAGTAGCATCATAATGGTGAAGAAAAATGTTCAGAAGTGGATTAATGGCTAGATGGGTGAAAGTATGGATAAATAATGAGATAGGTGAAAGTAAAACACCTTTAAAAATTAGGGAGAAGAAAATGTAAGAAACAGTTTTTAAAATAGGAGGAAAAGTAAAAAGACAAATCAGAGCAAGTGAAAACATAAAAAGGTAAACAAGAATATATATATATATATATTATATATAATTTAGTAATAATATATAATTTAATATTATATATAAATTATATATATGTATATATGTATATATATGTATATATATACATATATATATATATATAATTTCTTGAAGAAGCTGCTTATCCCCCATGTGCTTTTATATATTCTTGAAAAGTGAACATAGGTAGATGGAAAAATCTGTCTATCTAAGCCCATACAGCCAGTATCTTCTTCTTCTTCTTCTTCTTCTTCTTCTTCTTCTTCTTCTTCTTCTTCTTCTTCTTCTTCTTCTTCTTTTTTTTTTACTGTTTTGAAACCATCTGCCTAAGTGTTAGGATTTTATTCCAGGGAATCCTGACCCAGATGATCAGGTATTACCTATTGACTAAAGGTATCTATCTACATTTCATGGTTTCACCTTGGAAATGGAGGTAAGGAGTAACATTTTACAAATTTTAAAGAAATGATGAGTAGGAAATTCATTTTAAGGGAAAGTCTCCAAAACTGATTTGACTATGAGCTTTCCCAGACGCTCCAGAAAGCTGGCTTTCATCACTTGTCTTAGGTCAAATCCGTTGCCATAGTTCAGGACACAGGTCTCCCATGGAAACTAAGATACTTCAGACAACGCTAGAAAGCCAAATGCACTTAGAATGGGCTTTGTGTACCCTCATGCAGAAAAGATGGAAACCATTAGGTACTTCCTGCAACTGCATAGGCCCACAAAGAGGCCTGCAATTGGCATGTGGTCCAACCCATTCATCGGCAGCACACAGGGGCAATCATTAGGTTAAATAGCACTTATTTCTCTTTACGATACAATGTGAACAATCCTCCTGCTCAGCCCTAGGAACACACGTGTGTATAGAGGAACAAAGGAAGAGCCCACAGCCAAATACCACCGGGAAGAAAATGAGGCCATACTGCTGCCATCCCCTCAGTGTGGTACACAGGGGCGGCCTTCTAATAACACCCCAATGAGCCAGCCTGGAGCCGATGGGCCACCCAAGTGTATCCAACAAGAGCTACTGCATATTCAGGAAGCTGTGACCATACTAAGCCCCTCATTTGCAACCCCTGGTGTACTTTTATAAATCCGGAAACAAACATGAAATAATATAATTTCAGTAGGGAAACTGATTTCTGTTCCCATGTCCTAATTGAAAGAAAATAAGAAAGAACTATTGATTCTAAAGATTTAGAAAATTAACAGGTACACAAGAACTTCAAATAAGGCTTAGACCAGGATTGAGGGAAAGATGGTAGGTTTCAAATGGGTTTCTTACCTTTTTGTCACTCAGGCCAGAAACCTGGTCCACATACTCTTCTTGGATCATGAAGGCAGCTAAGTTGGCAGTGTAGCTGGCCAGGAAAATGACAGCAAAGAAGGCCCACACCGACACCATGATCTTGGACGTGGTCCCCTTTGGGTTCTGCACAGGTACGGAGTTGTTAAACACCAGACCCCAGAGTAACCAAATAGCTTTGCCGATGGTGAAAGATGGGCCGCCTGGCTCTGGCATAACAAAAAGATGAGGACGGAAAGTTAAGCCAGAGTTACTGGTTCTAGTTCAACCCAGAAGTACCCCGAGTGGAAAGTCTCTGCTCAGAGGAGGAAAGACTGAGCCTTTCAATAGACAGTTTTATAACGTGAGAGTCTGTGTCTCTCCTCTCCTGGGAGACTGAGGAAGGCAGAAGAGAGTTCAGTAGGAGAAAACCAGAGTCCTGGGATATGTGTGAAATCCTCTCCAAGTAACAATTTCCCTATTGTCATATATAAGACCATCAAGAGTACAGGAAAGTTGAATAACAATGGCTGACTACATTGCTATGATCACAATTAGGCCACTGTTGACATTTTCAATGTGCAACACATCAGCAAGAATTGTGTTAATCTCCTCTGTCATTGTTAGAAACCTCCTTTCAGCCTATTTACACTGAAGCTAGATGGCTCTAATGCACTTGTTGCTAGTTTCCTCTAGCTTCTTGCATTTAGCACTCAATATTTCAAAGGCAGCCTGAGTACCTCCCTTCCCTTCTTCAAGGCCAACCCTGTAGTGGTAGCATCTATACTAAAGATGATCAGGAAGCCCAGTGTGGAAGCCAGGGACTTGTAGCCCAGGCACATGGACCTGAGGGCAGGCAGCCGCAATCCTTCACTTTGACTTTCCTGCATCTGATCTTCATAGTGTTAAGGCTTCTGCACATCAATGCATCATGACCTCATTGCTCTCTCTTGTCAGTGGAGGTAAAATCTTGCCTGTTGCCTGGATCTCCAGAAGCCCCTCTACTGCTGAAATGAACATCTGCTTGCACAATTTTACAATGTATTAACACAGGTCTTGGGATGTTTGCTGTGATCCTGACGGCATCTGCTCAGCCAATGAAATCATCAGGGACTACACATGTCGAACTCGATATCTAACTGCACACACACATCTGTGCATGTGGATCTTATTTCATGCAACAGATGTGTAACTAAAAATTTGTTTATAAATCAAACTTTTGTAAAATGCAAAATGTTCTAGAGGGAATTGATGTTTAAAGTGGCATTGTGTGGAATTCCTTGGCAAAGATAAGCATTCTCTGGTAATGGAGCTGTAAGTGCTTGCTCTGGATTTTGTATATCTGGGTATTTCTCCTCCTGGAATTTTTTTCAAAACTAAGAAGATGCTGCACACTTAAGTCTTCACAATGTTGACTAATGTATATATTCACATGATTCTCAGTAGTTTTACTTCTCTCTGGAGCCCTTCAATCTGAGATAGAGATCTGGATAATCCTTTAGCATATATGTAAAGCCACTATATCATATTTCAGGGACATTAACAATTCCATCGCAGAACAGTGGAATCCAAATAAACAGCTTGGAAGTTGATCAGTGAAGGAGAGACCCCAGTCTGGAATGTGAGCTCAGTGGAAGCATGAGGAGAACTTTTGTAAAATATTTCTGATATCTACCTCTCAAAGTTCCTACTAAATTGCTATGTGGTTGGGCTGGTTATTCTGATGTGAAATCAAGTTAGAGAGACACTATTTTGAAATATACAGTGGTCCAAGCTACACCCTAGACTTAGTGGATCAGAAAACAAGGTTCTGGCACCTTTGTTTTTAAGGTAATTCTTATTAGGAGCCAAGGTTCAGAATTTGTCCTCTTGGAGTTATAATTCCAAGATAACTCCCAAGATGGGAGGAGAAGACTTGGAGGAAGGAGAAATTCTTCAATTCTATGGTGTACAGGAAGTCTTAGAGGAGCTACACAGGGATCTCATGCTCCCCTTCAGAAATCTAATGAGCTTTTAAAAAAAGTATCATAAGTGTTTCAAATACAAAGACAACCCTTAAATTTCTGGGCCAGCTACCCAGAGAACTGAATTCTGTGAGAGCTGTGGGTGAGAATTGGTCTCCCCATCCATTTTACTTTAAGCATCTGACACTTCCTATCTGGCAAGGGGGCTGAGCCAGGGACATATGCTTTGGAGACCTTGTGCCCCAGTAGTTATCTTTTGGCTAAAGGGAGCTCTCCTAGCCACAGCCACTTGCGTATTGCCTGGAGCAACCCATCTTTCCATATTCTTAGTGTTGATAAGATCTGCCTTGCTATGTCACATCTTTTCCAACAGACAACCACACTTAGCCACAAGCTATTCAAATAGTTCCTGTGACAAAGTTAAACTACCCATCTTTACTGTCCATCTTTCCTTTTATTTTCCTGGGAGTGGCACTTGACTTAGGGCTGGCATGTACCAAGAGGGAACAGGGAGTGCCAAACTGATAGGTACACAAGGAACTATTTTTTCCAGGAATGGATACATTATAAAGGATGCATATAACAAATGAAGGGCACAAAGATTTGGAGTCACAAATTAGAATAAATGCAGAGATGCAGTGGTTCCAGCTGGCCTTACCTCGGCCATCAGCGAGGCACCTGTTATAACCCACAGGGCTGAAGTATTCAAAGACAAATACAGCCACGGCTGAGACGATGAGCAGCATCACGAACATCATGACCCATACGTCAGCGCTGAATGGCTCTGGGGAGGAAAAGAAAGCCCGGCCAGGGTCAGAGCAGAGAATAAACAGATGCCCGTTACCTCATACATTCATTTGTGCATGCAAACACAAATCTGGGGGAACACAAAGAATAAGGCTGGTGCAGGCCTTGATGGAGCCAAGGACTGGGTTAAAGAGACAAGATGCGCCTGAGAAAATCCATCTCTCAGATTGGAATATTGAGGGTGTCTGTCTTTCAAACACATGAGGAAGATAACCTCAAGCCTGTGAACCTTCTGAGGTTTGTATGGACAGTTTCTGGAACTTCTGAGCCAATATCTGTCTTTCAGTAAAAGGTACAATTGACAGAAGTACTAGACAAGTACTAGAAGCACTAGAATTACCCTAGATGGATTTGGTTTATGTTCTCTTTTCTATGAGCTCCCCCACCCCGCCGCCATAAACTTTCACTACTACTATTGAATCTTGTAATCAAATTAATCCTTAATGGACCAGAGTTGAATTGGTTTCATGATAATTATGAATAATCACTCCCACCCACTTCTCTTGAATTTTCCAGCCTAGATTTTCCTTTGCAACTCTCTTTGATTTGGCATATTCCATTACACATCATTGGAATATAAGAATACGAGTCCAAGTTAAAAATCTATTTACATCATAAATCAATATCTGCCGAGGCACAAATTTAACAAGGTACAAGGGAACATACATAAGTAGAGATTCACAAAATAATTATAATTGTTATTTCCCCCATTACGAGCTAATAGGGTTGGTGGAACAAGACCAGGTAAGATAGCAGGAATGTGCTACACATCATTTCTTTAATATCTTTAATCATTTTTGCTGATTGCCTTTGAGTTGAATGCTCTCTGGCTTAGAGGTGCCCAGAAGCCAAATATATTCTAGAAGCCATCTCTCTAAAGGCCCACACACAAAGGAACAAGTGCAACTTTGTCCCATTATATGGTGCTCCCTCAATTGTGTCTCAAAATAGTCTTGGCCTTTTAAGCTGTCACATTGTAAAAAAAAAAAAATCCTCATAACTAAGTGAATTAACATGCTGTTTTCCCTATCTTCCAAATCATTAATAAAGATGAAGTTGAGAATGAGGAACAACTGGCTGAAAATTAGAAAATATATTTCTTGCTCTGAAACCTACTTTACTATGGAATTTCCAAAGAATTATAAAAGCTTGGTCACTTAATCAATTTAAAAAGAATCTCAATACAGCTCCAGAGCTTAACACACCAACAGCGAAATAGAAAGCCTTTCAATGGTAGCCAGAGTCAAGCATAGACAGTATAATTCAAAGCCTCTCTAGGTAGTTTAGGGAAACCACCTCTGTCTTTGATTCTAATTGATTGAAGTCCTACCTCAATTTCACTTTTTTATAAGAGTGGGGAAGAACTGAGTAAAAGCACCACTTTTGGGTCAATCTCTTCCCTCATTAAGTTTAGAGTAACACAAAAACTATAGTAAATATCTGTACTGGTCTTTTTAATTTACAAAGCTTCATTTCAGCACACATTGCTAACTAGTTTTAATGGACCCTTCATTATGGATTACTATGCCTACTTAAGAGGAGTAAACTAAGGTTGAGATTAAAGTTCTTGTTAGTCATACTGAAAAAGTGGTAGAGGGAGGTTAGGAACTAAGCCTGCTCTGTGCATTACATTATGGGCATTGATGATTCTTCCCACCACATCCAGATTCCTTCATGAGGAATGGAATACTGAGATGGCCAAACGTGGTCTGGAGCACAGGCTCTGAAGGCTACCATTAGTAGACTTTATCTTATATCCATCTTTCCTAAATCATAAAATGGATGTACTAATAGTATCAGTGAGTTAACAATAGTGAAGGCATGCACTATAATGGCTGGCATATCACATATGAGGTGCTCAATAGACACTGGTTTTTCTTGTCTTTCTAACTAATGACTCCAAAATACTCTGCCTAGCGTTTCTGTCATTTCAGAGTTCACCTATTCTTCCAGTTTAGAAGTTATAGTTAGTGTTAAACTAACAAGAGTTAGAGTTACAATGTGTTTTGTATCTTTCAATATTCCCAATCATCCTTGCAAAGGAAAGTTCAAATAAATTGCACCCAGAAGCTATGAGGATTAATGAATACAACGTGGGCTATCTAACAACATTTCTCATAAAGTTGGCAGGGCCAGAATTTGTTTCATCATGAATAAAAAGATTAGCTAAGAAACTTGAGTACAATTGTAATTTATAGAAAAGTTCTATGGAACCTATAATTCCGCTTAGTGGTACATTAATTGAATTAATTTCTTATGAGGAAAGTTTAAAGAAATATTAGTCACTGTTTATTCCAATATCTCTATATATTTGAAGATGCTGATGTCTTTTAGAGTGATTATGACTTGTCCAAGGTCTTAGAGCTTGTTTATGACCATACCAGGCTTCCTGTCTCCTGGCCAAATGTTCTATTTTCAAGGTGACATTTTATTTTCCACCCCTTGCTCCACAGCCCCTACAAAAAATATGGGATATGAGCTCACAGAAGTGCTCATCTAATTGAAATCTTGGCCTTCTCAAGCCCAGTCTTATATCATATCTGAGGCTTGACACATAAGTGGTGCTGGGGAATGGAGAAGTGGACACTGGCACAGGGAAGGAGGGGGCAAGGTGAGAGGAAGCCTCAGGTCAGCTCTGGCTGGAAACACCTCAAAAATTCATGTGAAAATGGGAAATCTATTTTGGTAGTCCTAGTATCCATTTTTGAAGAAAATTAAAAATAAATAGGTATGTCAATGATATCTAGAATTACTCATTATTAGAGGAAGAAGCAGCTGCAGGATCAGCTAAATGGCCTTTTCTTTGAATAAGGAAACTGAGCCCTATGATAAAGCAAATTTACTTCAGGTCAAATAATGCCTAAGTGACAAGAAAGGGACTATAGTACACATTTGCTGACCAGTCCAGCAGGGTTTTCTTACAAGGCATTATGTTTTCTTGTTTGCCTGAATGTTCTTGAGCTTTCCTGTTTGAGAATAATTAATTCTAAAGCCCCCAGCATCTGGCAAGCCTCCTGGTGGCAGCAAGAGCTTGGCCATGTGCTTCTTCCATTGCACCATATCCATCTTTGTGTCCCCACAAGCATTCCTTTCCACTAGCACATGCATCACTTACCTAAGAAGGCAGAAGGTGAGACAGTCCCATTGCTGCGTGACACCATGACACTGATGCCAGTTTCTATGAAGGGTACAGAGAAGTCAACTACCTCTGACCGCTCCTCATTGATAGTGAGTGATCCCACCGCCATATAGGCCCTCTTCATGACCACCTGGAGAGGAAGATGCAATGCTCCAATTAGAACCCAGGAAGGCCGGGCCCACCATGAGGAAAATACACATGGTCTAGCAGTAACTTTTGCTGTAGAGTAGGAATAGTACATTCTCTTTGCTATTTCATATTCTTGGAAATATATGAAATGAGCATTTTAAGATGTTTTTAAGTGAAACAAAATAAAAAAACAGAAATGATCCTTACTTCCTGACACTCACCTCTCCGATCATACCATTCCAGGTTCCATTGATCTTCTTCCCGTGCTTGCCATTGGTCACCAGGTAAAGGTCATAGGTGAATTTCACAGATTTAGAGATTTTCTTAAGGATGTCTATACAGAACCCCTTGCAGCATTTTTTTATGTAGCCTGGCTCCTCATCTGTTTTATTCCTAGGCATATAAAGGAAAGGGGAAAAAGTAAAGCTTCGTACAAGGAAAAAATAGTACTCTTGATCATTAAAGTTCCAACCCCAAAGGACCCTCTACCTTCACACCAAACCAAGGAAATCAGACCTCACATCATTACTCTAAGCCACATTTGCAGGCAATTTTTAATGTCCCATTGAAGTATGATACACATGTAGAAAGGGTGCATATTCTAAAGGTTCAGGTCACTGAATTTTCACACGCTGAATTTTCACACCTTAACAGTTGAACTGGTACCACAACCCTGCTATAGAAAAACTTCAAGCACCCAATAGGTCTCTCATTTTTCCTTCTGGGTACTTCCTTCTCTTACTAAAGAGAACGAATACCCTGACTCCTGACAGCTTAGATAAGTCTGATCTGTTTCCAAACATGGTTCTAAATCTCAAAGTTTGGGGGCATACTGTTCCAAGGAAACATATTTCAGCATGGATAGGGAACTTCAACCTCTGTGAACCTGAGGTCCCAGTCACTGTGGCCAGGCATGGCCAAAGGAGTGTTAGTCAGGTGGTTAGCAAGCATTTTTCATAGCTTGTGATTTGGACAGAACCAGACACCACCACACCTTAAGGTGGTGAGTGGTCCCACAGCTCAAATGCAGGTGAGAAGGGCCTGGTGCTCAACTCATTCCCTGCTCCAGGCCCCAGGCTAGCTGGGTGCTAACAGTTGTGCCCAGTGTGACTCTCCCCTGCGGTCAAGACCTAAGGAGAAGGCGCTACACATACTCAGAGATGATGCGCTTCTGGCAGGGGACTGTGTTCCTCATGCAGGTTCCGCTCAGAGGGTCCACACTTTCCACAATGACAAACGGTGCCTCCTCCAGGGTCACAATGCTCAGGTGGTCATCCTCCTGTTCCTCTGTCTCAGGGCACATTCGGGGCCACACATAGTATTTCATCTGCAGGGACTTGTCTTTCCACTTCCCCACCTGTGCAGAAATTTACAGAAGATTCAGCAAACACCAACCATGACATAAGAACCTGACGTAGCATCATCCGAATCTTTCCAAGAAGTGCTTAAATGAAGGCAAACAGATGCAAGCTTTGTACATAATGGAAAGAAAGCTTTTTAAACCATATGTTCAGCGGGAGACTGCTGCTTCCAAATAAGAGGGTAATACACTCCATCACTCACCCACTTACCATGCAAAAATGTGGACCTACTATGTGGTGGGTACCCTGCTAAACTCTGTAGCTCAAAGAAGAACTATCCTGCCCCTAACTAGACTCCATCAGGTTGGGTGAAGAAGTCAGAGATATAAACAGCTATTTACAGCACTACATGGTAGGTGCTAAAATTGAACCAAGTACCGAGAGGATGCCTATTTCCCATGTTTTGTGTGGTTATTAGTTTTTTTTTTTTTTTTTTTTTTTTTAACCATAACAAGGAACATGACAGAGAGAACAGAAAATAGTGTTAGAAAGGTCAACAGAGTGACTGCAGTAAATGAGCTGACTAGACATGTTCTGGCTTATACCAGAGGTCCAGGGCAGAACTGAATGGAGAGCCAGATAGGTATGGGTTGGAACATAAAGGTGAGTTGGGAGGAAATAATACAGACTTGGCTTATTTGTGGAAGCGAGGGCTGGGCTGGTAAGGACTGCCGAGTCAATAAAGATATACACCTGCAGGACTCAGATGGGTCTCTCTGTGAGCTGCCACAGGTGGCCACAGGCTGCCAAGGGGCTGCATTCACATGAACATGAATGCTGAGTGTTGCCACAGCACACGCTTGGCGGCCCTGCTGCCAATCACTAGGTAAGTATATGGCTTTGATTGTCTTCGAAAGAACCATCCAGTTCTATTTTTATGATAGAATCTATAAGACCTTGAACGATCACATTCTCTGCCCTTGAGCTTAATGAAGACAGAAAAAAAAACTCATTTTAGTTTTCTACAAGTGAGCATCTCTGAATATCATAAAACATTATTTTCCATATGCTAAGGTGAAACAGGACAGGTGAGGACTACAAAACAACTTAGTTTACTACAGAAACCAATAGGAAGCAATATGCTGGCATTATGTCACAAAACTTTAAGTGAATAGGCATTTCCCTTTGGTGCAAAACTTAAATACTTTTGTTGTTGCTGCTTCTCCTTTTGTCTGCACTTAGGTTTCCAAGTGCTCCCTCCACCTTATCCCAGTGCTCATGGCTTCCATCTAAATTAAACTTGTACATTCACAGCCTTTGTTCCATTGCATTGCTATCATGTGGGCAGTGATTTATTGTCCTGGGCTATTTTGCCTACAGCTTGCATAGTCTTTCCCCGGCGTTAACTCCGTCTCTGTTTGGAGTGTGATATTTGTAAAATAAATAATATTTTGCTTCTTTACTCAAAATCATGCATCAAATCAAATGTTTGCTGTCCTTTAGATACACAGATAGTCCTCAGCCTGCTCAGGAAATTCATTGTAAATTGAACATCTCATAAGTTGAAACACATTTAATAACCTGTGACCTACAGAATACTATTGCTTATCAACACAGTGCACTAAAAAAGAATCAGTCGTTCACTATTGTGGTCTTGTGTCTGGGATCTGCGGCTCAATGCCAATGCCTAGAGTCATGAGAGAGTATCACACCACACGTCACTAGCCCAGGAAAGGATCAAAATCGTTGCTACTGAATGTGCATCGCTTCTGCACAATCATGGCCTCAAAGAATGAGTCAAGAAAATCAGTGACCACCTGTTCAGATGTCTCTTTGCTACTGATTTTAACTTTGTTCTAAGTCTATATTTCCTCATATTGCTGTTACTATTTACTTCTAAAGGAGAAATTTTTAAATGGCTTGGAAAATATATGGAGATAAAAAAGCCCTCTGCTAGTAGTTGGGACAGGTAGAATCTTGGGGACATTGAGTCAACTCCATCCCCAAGCAGCCATTTTTACCACCGTGGCCAGTATTAATTTCAGCACATTGAATAATATGGAAAGGGTTATGAAGCTCTAACATACTTTTGGTTTGTTTTTCAGTCCTTTCAGATTCCCTTACTAGTACCTTGTGATTTTCTTTTTTAACCTTGTGATTTTTTTACCTTTAAGTTCTAAGGCTTTTTCTTCTGCCTTCATTACTACCAGCATATCCCAGAGCAGTTCAGCAGCCCATTATGGAATTATTGCAGGAAGCCTCCAACCTCACACAAGGTTCTCTCCAGAGCTTGTCATGGACTTCGCTGCCAAGTGGTTTTCTTAAAATAAAACTTTGTCATAAAGTCTGTACTCAAAATTTCTGTAACCTCTCACTCCCCTCAGGATGTGCCCAATTATCTCATCTAGATTGTCAAGGTCTATAAACTAACCCTTGTCTACCCTGATGTGGTTAAACTCACTGTTTTGAATTATGCATCTCTGGTTCAACTCAGGAGAAGTTGTCAGTATAGGAATTAGCACAGAGTAACCAGGAACAGACTGCAACAAACTAGCTTCAGCATCTTTTTGAACAGACTTATTCTGTCTGTGGGGAAAAGATGTTGCAGACATAACACTTTGGCAAAGTTTCTCATGACATTCTTGTGAACAAGATGAACTGTAACACGGATTACTGATTATTTTGGTAGGTTGGGAAAAGAGATCAACCTACATCTAAAAAGAAAAGAAAAATTGTTTAATGAATCAATGCCAACTGGAAAGAGGTGTTTAGTGACATATCAAGGGACCTTGCTTTTAAAAGTGACTTAATAGCATTTTAGAGACCAAAATAAAAGTCATGCTCATAAGATCACAGACAACACAAAGCTAGACGGTATAGAAGACAGAATGCACTGCAGAGTTGGGTGTGGAAGAAACTAATTAATTCAAATACTAGACTGAACCAAATGGAATGAAATGTAACAGTATGCTTAAAGTCTAGCATTCAAATTGTTCAAAAAGCAACTGCTCAGCCCTGGAAAGGAGGTATGTCATTCAATAGCAGTCTATAAAATCTATTGCAGCAACAAACGTTGTATTTATAGACTTACATTTATAGACTTATTTATAGAGCACAGTACGAGGTGACATTTATTAAGTGAAGGCTAACTGAACTTGTTTAGTAATCCCATTAACCATCACAGCAAACCTGTAAGACACTCCCAACTGATGTTTCACTCTACAGAGGGGTCGGATAACTTTCCCGAAGGGAGGGGTGAAGGGAGGGCAAGAAGATGCCACCCTGCTCTGTGCATCAGTCCACAGCAGGAAAACTAAGTTCTGATCCTATAATTCCACGATCTTCTGATTTTTTCATTAAATACGCCATTCTTATTTCTTCGATAATTTGCTCATGCAGCTTCGCTATAGCACACTCTTTCCCAGTTTCCTACCAGGCTAGCTGAATCAGTTTTATTTCATGTCAATTCAGTTCAACCAACAATACTTGGCCACCACTGTTGTGCCAGGCCCCAGGCTGGGTGCTAGAGAGCACAGTACGAGGTGACATTTATTAAGTGAAGGCTAACTGAACTTGTTTAGTAATCCCATTAACCATCACAGCAAACCTGTAAGACACTCCCAACTGATGTTTCACTCTACAGAGGGGTAGGATAACTTTCCCAAGATCCCAAGACAAGTGAGTATTGAGTGTAATGTCAGAATCTGAAGCTTGAAGTCTGCCTCTACAGCTTGTGCTCCCACCCGCTAGGCTGCTCTGCTCCGCTGGTAATTAAGGAGCAAGACATGGCCATGTCCTCCAAGTACAGTCCCAAGGGGAAAGATCTCATCTACTGTCAAGAACATCTTTGCTCATTACTCGCGCATAAAATATAACTAAACATTCTGGCATTGAGAACCAAAGTGATCACTTCCAAAAGAGTGCAGGAAAAGCCTCACTGAGACCCTTATCTTTAAGCTGGGCCTTGAAACGCAAAGGATGATGGCTTAGGTGAAGGGTTCGCTATTCACTGAACTAGTTCAGTTTCCTCCTCCTTAAGACCTGCTCACTCCAGCAAGCTGATCTCTGCCACTCTTGAGGGCCAACTGGAGTGCGTTCATTGCTTTCCCACATCCTTGCTCAGTGGAACTGGCTGGGCACCATAAAACCACTGAACACTATAAATCAGGACTTCCTCCGTCCCTGCCCCTTCAGGAAGCTCTTAAATATTTTTCGGTTTGCAGAATAATCAAATCTTTCATTATTTTATGCTATTGATTACCTTCTTTGATGGTGTTTTAGAACTTTCTAGGTGACTTTTTCAACTAAATTCCAAACATATCACTAAATATTTCAGAGGCCACAGGCAAATTTCTAAAACTCTCTGAGAAAAATGTTTGCACATACTCTTTTAGAATATTTTGCTGAGTTTACACACCTATAATATTCAAATAACAGGACTTAACAAAAAAAGGGCATACAGATGAATGTCCATTTTGTATCTGTGTATTCAAGTTGGTTGGGATAGATATATAGTTGCATTCTCTTAATGAATAGAATGATTTGTTCTAATGGTGTTTGTAAATAGGATCACAAGTCCGCATCTTGTACAGCAATTAACCACTAAGAAGAATATATGCAGTGTATTATTTGTTGAAAAATAAAAAAAAAATAAAAAAAAAATGTTTGCACATTTGTAAGAGTAGTCGAGTGGATTTCTAAGGTATCTTGTATATAATTCATAATTTTATTATCACTTCAGATCAAGGGCTCTTTACAGCACTCATGCAGAATAGCACTCATAGAAGAGGTGTTCTTGGTAGCCATTCCCTGAAGGAAGGGCAGTATCTGATTTATTTATACAAAAACTTTGCTTATTTGAAGCTTGTTTCCTCAAGGATGATTGTAGTGAGAAGGAAAATTAACAAATTTATGGAAGACTGAAAGGAATATGAGATTCATAGTGTCCAAAAAATAGGACTCATGCTAGAGAACATGTTTAATTATCTCAATTTTTTTAGTGTTTTTCTGTTCTTTTTCTTTTTCTTGTTGCAATGTACTGGGGATGGAATCCCAG